GGTGCCACCCGCTATGCCATACGTCGGTCGGCTTGTCGATCATGTTGCCCTTGGCCTCGCGCCGGGGCGCCCCCAGTTTGAAGCTACGGCTGGTGCAGCAGATACCGTTGTGGTAGCGGTACTGGAAGCAGCGGCGGTCGAGCGGGTTGCGCGCCGCCATCTTCTGCTCAAGCTGCCTGCGCATACGGCGCGAGCTCGTCTGCTTGTTGAGGCCACTAGCTTCCCCCTGGCCGTCGATCTGGTCAGCGGCAGCAGCGTCTCGTACGGCTTCATTCTCCGCCTCCTCAATAGCGTCTTCGTAGGCTTCCTCGACACCTTCATACTCGCACACTCTTGCACAGGCCGCAAGAGAGGTGTGGGCCTCTGCCTCGATAGAGTTCTTGTCGGCGTCTTTCTTCTCGCGCTTCAGGGTCTTGGGGTCCGCCTTCTTTCGAACAAAGGGGCTTGGATCGATGTAGCAGACGTCCTCCGAGAGATTGTCCCAATGGGTGCGTGCAGCGACCATCTTGTTCGCAACAAAGGCCTTGTAAAGGTCCTTCATGAGGATGATGTTCTGTAAACGGGTTAGTGGCCAAAACGCTAAACTGACCAAGAGGTCTGCACTTACGTTCTTCTTGCGCGTCTGCTCAAACTGCCACATGGCGCTGACCTCCTCCGAGTCCATGTGATGCATGGTCAAAATCGGCTCGCACCAATGCGTGGGCCCGTAAGGCAGAGTGCTAGGTTTCTCTCCATTGAACATGGGATGCGCGTGCTGCAGCTTGATGCCCTCGTTCTCGAGAATGGCCTTGGCGACCAGCTGATCGCCGCAGCAGTGACTGCGCGCCTTGTCATCGTAGAATTCGGGCAACCCAATGACGCCTTCGACAAGGTTGCGAACCATGGCGCCGCTGAGGAGATAGCCGCTGCCACCGTGGGCAAACGGGATACCCGCAAGCATGGCGCCGCTGCCGATATAAGCGGGCTCCTCGAGGGGGTCGACGACGGGGCTCTTTGTTTGGAGCCAGTAGGCGAGGCTCGGCCAGACAATGTAGGTGTCTGCTTCAGTAAAGAGGTACCATGTTTGGTTGGGGCGCATCTGCCAGGCGCGCTCGATGATGTGAAGGAATTTGTACTTGTCGAGACTCCATGCGGCAGTAGCAGCAGCACCGCGGTAGGTGTTGAGGCAAGACTTTTGGGCGACAGGGCACTCGGCCTGTGTGCGGTACAGGTCGAATTCGGGATTGTCGGCCTTGACCTTGTCGGAAACGTCGGCGAGGGCGTCATAGACATGCCACTGGCCGACTTGCTGCTCGCGGTCAGAGAAGAGCAGGAAGTCGGGCAGACATTGAAAGTTGGTCAGGAGCTGTGTGGGCAGCTTGTCGAAGACCTCGGTGGCGCCCGTCTTCATGACGGTGAGGATGCCCTGGGTGTCAGGAAAGTCGCGGCAGGGGTTCGTGCCAAAGTCATATTCGCGGACAACGTGATCCTCGGTGCCCTGCTGGTATAGGGTGTTGTTGTGGGTACGCCCTGCTTGATAGATGGTCTGCAGGCCATCGGTAATGGCGCGCTGCACATGGACGGTCTGCTCTCGAAACTGCGTTTGGTTGTAGAAGCTGAAGATGGCGAGCAGGCCGAGGGTCATGAGCAGCATCGGGCGCCAAGAGCGGCGGGAGTACGGGTTGGAGAGCATTCTCCGGGTCCCGAGTGGTGAGGGGGGCTTGGAGGGGAGGGGCAGGGGTTCGAAGGGCATTGAGAGCCGTGAGGGCCGGGCCCAGTGAGTGATGGCCGTCAACAAGGGAATCCGGAGTCAGCGTCCAAGTCGTCAGTGTAGAGAGCTATAGGAGGTTGCGTCTGATGCAACTCAAAATGGGCGGTGGTCGGGGAGGGAGGGAGGTGAAGTTGGCCTGACAGAGGAATGTTGAGATACAAGAATGGGCGAGTCTGACACTAGGTCAACGTGACAAAAGAGAGGGCACGTTGTTTGGGGGGTGGTATTCCAAGAGGTGCAGTTCCTTGATTGGTGACGCGTATGGCAGAGTGCCGCGAGTGGGGATGTGCAGACGCAACGAGGCACTTGGGCACTTAGGGTAACGTAGATGAGTAGTAGTGGTGGCCCGTTCCTAGTGACGGGATGGTTCTGGATGAATGATGGGTTTCTTGGTGAGGCACGCCAGATGAGGCAAGGTGACGGGATGCAGGATGGGATTCGAGGTGGAGAATCCCCTCAAGCCAAGAGAGCCGCGCAGTCAAGGACCTTAGCTCGATTCGATGGAGATGGAAATGGAAACGGGTGGGACTCCGGGACCATCGCCAGAAAGCAGCCAGGAGACGGGAACCAGTGTGCGCACTCGTGACGCAAAAGGGACACTAGCAGGCCCGTCGGAGGTTTGTATTGAATAGATGATTTTGCACCTCAGCCAGGAGGAGAAATGAAGCTCAGGGATGAGTGGAAAGAAACGAAGGGGAGAGAAGCAGCAGGAGGAAAGCCAAAGTCGGGTACGGCAAGGAAAGAGCAGCTAAGCTAACTGCCTAGGTCTAGGCAGGTAGGCAAGGTACCTGAGGTAGCTAGGAAAATATCGCGTAGACCAGGTAGTAGTACTGAGTAAGGGGAACGAAGAACGTAGGGAAGGTTCGATAATTTGTCCCCTCCAAAACGAGGGACGCGCGCAAGAGAGAGAGAGATAGAGAGAGAGGGAGAGAGAGGGATGAGATGGATGAATGAATTGCATTCGTCAGGGCAGCAGCACCGAATCGGGACGAGAAATCAATCCAGCCAGACCGGCCCCCTTTTCTTTCTTTCACAAAAGGGGAATCAGACGAAGAAGAAAAAGAATACAGATTGTCTGTCTGTCCCTGCTCTGCACTCCACTGTTCACCAGGTATTCACTATCCGCCAATCCATAGCCCACTGTTCGAGTCGAAAGTTCACGGTTCGCTGATCTGCTCCTGCTCTGCACTGACGTAGGCGTAGGCGCCAGGGGGGGGGGTCTCCAGCAGCATGTCAAGCTGCTGCAGCATGAGTGAGTTGCAGATGGAAGAAGCACCCAATCCCAGCTCGTTATGAGGCGACAGGGGTGGACAGAAGGACAGGTACCCAGCATGGAACACGAGGCGCAGTAGACGGGGCGGGCGCGGCAGGCGGAGTTTCTTTCTCGATGGCCAGACTCATGGTTTCAAGACGGGCAGATCTCAAAAGTATTTTGCCTTGGTCACGAATGTCCATCAAATGTCTGCTGGTTTCTTTGCAGAGTTGTCCCTACCTTCTCCATGTCCCTAGGTATCTAGATACGGTACTCAGGGATGCAAGTAAACACTAGCAGGTCTGGTGGCGCTGGTGTGCAGCGCTGACAGTCCGGGACGGGCGGAGCCTCCAAACAGTCGCTCCTCCCTAAAGTAGAGGTACCTAGCCAACCCTCGCAGGA